TGTAGGTACCGTAAGCGCATTTCAGTTCCCGAAAAAAAATTTCAGGGAACCCAGAGACTACCCGTAAGCGCAGTGAAAATCCTGTTTTCGACTTCGAATTAAGTAAGAACCCCTCATCCTATTTCCTATCATGAGATTAGAGTTTAATAAGTGATAAAATTGTATTTTATGAATTATATAGATACACGTAATTTATCACAGTTGCTAATGAAGGCCGAATCGGACGTATTTCTTTGTCAGTTCCTGTTTGACTTATTTACAGTCTAAATGCCGTATAGTATCTGATTTAATTATTCTATGATTTTGAATGTATGAATTACTATTTATTTCATTACTGCACGATTTTGTGAATCTGATGATATACTTGCCTTGTTGGATGCTCGTTACGTGTTTAAGTATTCATGATTATGTAAGAAACAGAAAGCTAAAGAAAGATAAAAAGGTATGTGAATTGGTAAATGGATAAGTTGACAGCCTCACTAGATATCCTGGGAGATGGTGGACGGACCGGCTCCATAGGGAACCCTACCGGGAACGTTGTCTGATACCGGACGGGGTATGGAGACTTTAAATGTTTTGGTGCTCATACCAGACGGAGTATGGGAATGGTCCGCTTCACCCTCATACCGGACAGTGTATTGAAGTTTATTGTTTTGGCGCCCATACCGGACGGAGTATGGGGATAACCCTGGAATTAAGTTGTTAAAGTTAACGGTTCACGTGTAACGGAGATACCTATGGATCCCATGGATACTGGTAGGCTGATAAAAGAGGGAAATTGTTGTTTGACGAATGAAATATAAAAGTATGATATTTGCTATCTTACAGAGTATGTATGAATTCATAATATCTTTGATGTTATTATTTTTATGGGTCGTTTTCATAAATCTCACAGAGGTAAGTGGACAGTAAAGAGTTTTATTATTGATTAATAAATTTGTTGAAAATTGTGCTCCATTGGTCGTTTTTATTTTTTTACCAACATTTACTTCTGTGACAGTGATATATCGCGCACGGACGGTCTAGATTTTATCGCGATAAATGGTCTAGATTCATTTTCTATTTAATTGCAATCGGACGGTCCAGATTAAATCGCGATGGACGGCTTAGATTAAAAGCAGAATATTATAAATAATCTCATCCACACCCAAACCCTAACCCTAGCCGCCAGAGCCCTCACCGAAAAAGACAGCCCAGCCACTGGAGAACCGATCGCGGCCATCCACTGCCACACTAGAGCACTTTCCGACCGCCAAACGAGGTAAAAATTCTCCCCTTAGCACGAAATTCGATTCTAAACCTACATATGACCAAATCGGAGCCAAAACACCAGCCAATTGGTCGAAAAACGCAACCGAAGCCCAGTGGCGCTGCCGCCAATTTTTTCAATTTTTACCTCCGATGAGGCCCTTCCCGATTCCCGTTCGATATAATTTTTCTATCATTGTGACCACCGTTCTTTCCTTTACAGGTTGACCGGAGAAAAACACCAAATCATGACTCAAACTGGAGCCGCCGCACCGGAGAGCCCCGCCGCACCGGAGAGCCCCGCCGCACCGGAGAGCCCTGCCGCCGGTAAGTTTCGATTTTCGGTATTTTTTGGGCCCACTGAGGGCCCTAGGGATGTTTTATCACATGAACCAATGCAAGTTTGGCAGAATTCGTTCGAAAACGGCCGGAAATGGCCAACCCGAGGCAGATCGCCGCAGCAAGCGGTGGCGCCGTCGCTGGAGCACGGCAAAGCTGCTGTGCCGGAATTTTAAAATTGACCGAATAGGCATTGGGTCTGATTTTTGAGTTATTTGGGACATGTGTAGGTACCGTAAGCGCATTTCAGTTCCCGAAAAAAAATTTCAGGGAACCCAGAGACTACCCGTAAGCGCAGTGAAAATCCTGTTTTCGACTTCGAATTAAGTAAGAACCCCTCATCCTATTTCCTATCATGAGATTAGAGTTTAATAAGTGATAAAATTGTATTTTATGAATTATATAGATACACGTAATTTATCACAGTTGCTAATGAAGGCCGAATCGGACGTATTTCTTTGTCAGTTCCTGTTTGACTTATTTACAGTCTAAATGCCGTATAGTATCTGATTTAATTATTCTATGATTTTGAATGTATGAATTACTATTTATTTCATTACTGCACGATTTTGTGAATCTGATGATATACTTGCCTTGTTGGATGCTCGTTACGTGTTTAAGTATTCATGATTATGTAAGAAACAGAAAGCTAAAGAAAGATAAAAAGGTATGTGAATTGGTAAATGGATAAGTTGACAGCCTCACTAGATATCCTGGGAGATGGTGGACGGACCGGCTCCATAGGGAACCCTACCGGGAACGTTGTCTGATACCGGACGGGGTATGGAGACTTTAAATGTTTTGGTGCTCATACCAGACGGAGTATGGGAATGGTCCGCTTCACCCTCATACCGGACAGTGTATTGAAGTTTATTGTTTTGGCGCCCATACCGGACGGAGTATGGGGATAACCCTGGAATTAAGTTGTTAAAGTTAACGGTTCACGTGTAACGGAGATACCTATGGATCCCATGGATACTGGTAGGCTGATAAAAGAGGGAAATTGTTGTTTGACGAATGAAATATAAAAGTATGATATTTGCTATCTTACAGAGTATGTATGAATTCATAATATCTTTGATGTTATTATTTTTATGGGTCGTTTTCATAAATCTCACAGAGGTAAGTGGACAGTAAAGAGTTTTATTATTGATTAATAAATTTGTTGAAAATTGTGCTCCATTGGTCGTTTTTATTTTTTTACCAACATTTACTTCTGTGACAGTGATATAGTGTGACGTCTTTACTGGGATAGTGTAGCTCATTCATTACTTAACCTTTTCAGATCAGAAGAACTTGGTTCATAAGCCCATTCCGCAGGAAGACGGCGAGTAGATGCCTAAATATTTTATAGATTTCCTTATAGTATTTCATTTCTAATATTTTCTTTAGTTAACTTATTCTTTCATATTGTCAGTACATTTCGGTTATTGTGTAAGAGATATTAATCAAAACTTTTTATTTCGCTTCCGCACTCAAAATTTTTATATACATTTTCTCTTAAATTTTCGGGATCGTTACATGGCATGTTGTAGATATTATTCATAGCTCGTAAATTTAATATGATTTATTATTTATTTAATTATGTGACAAATCATATTTTAAATCTTTTTACAGAAGAAGAGGAAAATAAAGATGATCATAAAATAAATTAAAAAAAAAAAACTCTCTTAACTTATTGAGACAATAAGTTGCTACTAAAATTTGGTAAATAAGGTTGTACTTCACCAAGAATACGATGATCTAACAGTTAAAATCTATATATTCTACTTAAAGATTATGAATTTAAATTTTACTTGAGTATATAAATCTCGTAATTTTATGAATATATTACATGTAGGTAGTAACTAAATTATAATCGTCGATTCAATCTTAACAAATATTAACAAAGTCATTACGTCTCTAAGCTAAAATAATATTTTTGTAATGACTATATTTCTTTTTTCTAGAGAAACCGGATGTTTTTGCACTTATTATAATTTAATTTTTATTTTATTATTATTTTTTAAAAATATTTTCATTTAAAAAAAGCTAAAGCAACTATACCATATTTAAATATATTTTTAAAAAATAACTATCACTGATTAATAAATTTAATAAACTACAATAAAAAAATATAGTTAATACTAGTATTAATTTATGAATCATTAATTTAATTAGTTAATTAAATTATTTTTTGAGTTATTTTAAAAGTATTTAAACTTACTGAATCATTTAATCTTTACACTATTAAGTAAATAAAAAAATAATAAATAATTTGGTCCAAAAATTCACATAACACCTTAAGCTAGCTAGCAATAAATAGTAATCTTAAAAATATTTATAATATAATATTTTGTATTAAAATTTCAAGAATTTTTCTAAAATTAAATCCTGACTTCAAGTAATTAATCAAATTTAGGGATGCTAATTGGGGTTACCCACCACACCATTCCGCCTAATCAACATTTAATCAAATATCTATATATATATATATATATAATTAAATTAAAAGAAAATATTAAAAAGCGATGCGAGTTCGAACACTGCATTTGAGGAAATATATAAAGCGAAGATAAAGTTTGGAGAGAGAATGAGAAAGCAAGAAATTCAGAGAAATTCAGAGAGAAGAGAAGACGAAGTGAATGAGAAATATTACAGAAGAAAAAGTCTACGTCAGTGCATAGAAGAAGACGATTGCGAAGAAAGAAACGAACAGCTTCAAGTTGTTGGTGGTGGTTCCGACGCCGGCGCCCGCACCGGAGATGTCTGATGGTTTCGGAGTTGCCGGTGTGTTTGATGAATTATTACTACTGGTGTTATTACCAGTAGCATCGAACACAGCTGCGTCTGGAGAGCCAGGAGGTAGCCCTAGTAGCTCTGCACATATACATACACACACATATATATATATATATATATTAATTTGCTATACATAAAATTAATATAAATAAAAAAATAATTTATAAATTCTTAGATATCCAAATAAAGAAAAGAAACGTGTAATATCCTTTCGAAGAAAGTCACGCATGATGCGTGTTTTTTTCTTATAAGTTTGTTTTATGATTTTCATTTACTTTTTTTAATTTTTAATAAAAATTAATGCTTTCCCTAATTCATATATATATTTTTATATAAAAACCAGTTTTTAAAAAATAATAATAATAATAACTATTTATATATGCATGATAAATAAATCTACTAAAAACCCTAAAAATATTTTATAAACAAAAAAAATAAATAAACATGCATGGATCATTGATTAATTCCAGTAATTTATACTAATTAGGTATATTCAGTTTTTCCTGCTTAACTCTAAAACAAGAAATAAAAAAAGGACGGAAACGGTGCCGTTTTAGCTGCAAGAATCGGGCATAACCGCAAACAAATAATGAATGACCAGAACTCAGGCGATGGCAAAGCAGAAGTTGAGAGGAAAAATGAATAAAAAGATTGCAGCTGGAGGTATACGTATATATGTGTATATATATAGAGACAAAGAGAGAGAGAGAGAGAGAACTGACTGGGACAATTCGAAACGGTGGCGTTTTTGAGGTGGCAAGCAGAAGGAAGTTGAAGGAGCTTAGCCTCCTGTATACCTAAGCTCCTAATGGTCTGACCACCACTATGAGTCTGTTGAATGATAAAGCACAAACACTTTGGGTCATCTTCCTTTATCCCTTCCACCGCCGTACAACAATCCTTCGTCGGCACCGTCGCCTTCCCCGTCGCAAACTCAAGACACGACATCACCTTCTGAAAATCATCCTTACATTCCTCCGCCGGATTATCCGCCGCAGAAGCCCACGCCCAACCCCACACCACCACTAACCACACCATCAGCAAACCCTTTACTCCTCCTCTCCCCATCTTCTCTCTCTCTCTTTCTTCACACCTTCTATTCAGACAGAAACACTATATGAACGAAGAAAAAAGGAAAGTTGGGTTGGATGTGTTACACAGCTTGAGATCTTGACTGATATAATGAAATTAAATAGGAAGAAGGTGTTAGATATTTACGCGGAGTTTCAGAATTAGTGAGAACATGGTTGAGGAGTACGGGAGTAAATGTTGATGCAGAGAGATATAAATGGGGTTGTTGAGGCCGCAGTTACGTAGCTGGACTTTTACGAGGAGGAAGACAAGGAGCGGCTTCTGTATTAAATGAGGTGTCTGCTTTTGAGCTGCAACGTGGCAATCAATCAAGACGTTGCCTTGGTAAGCTGTCGTGCAGAGACTGCTTTACTTTTGGACGGTCAGGATTAATTTCCACTCTGGACTATTTTCTTTTTAATACAAAATTAATTATATTTTAAGAAATTAAAAATGAATAATCAAGGGCAATTTTATAAATTAATTAAAAAAGTTTTCACATATTTGTTTGACACGTGTTCAACAGGGAAGCTGAAAACGTGTCAGTTGACCTTTTGACTTAAATGTCCTTGGTTTAGTAAGATATTAAAAGTGGAGAGCGGAGAAATTTCTCGCATATTATGTACTTAATTCCGTATTTAAATCAAATTACTATGAGTAGTTTCAATTATATTAATTGATACTAACATGTAAAAAGAAAATATGTAA